AGCTGCGGTTCGCAACATGTCGTGGCGCCAGCAAATGCTCCATAAAGTTGGTCTTTTTTACTCACCAGGCCAGAAGGTCTTTGAGTTCCTTTTTACATATTGACCGTGTGTAGGCAGAATAAATCACTTTGGTTAACAGTAGATTGGCGTCGACAAGACGCTGAGATAGTTTAAAACCCGATTTTATTAGTTAGGACTTTCCAGTCAGGAGATTTTGCCTACAGCACTAATGTGAGAATGACGTTTTGCCATAGAGAAGATTTTGCGTAGCTTAGACCAGCTTTTTCCCCGAAAGACGCTACTAGTTTTGCATATTTTTGTATTTGTCGCAGCGCACTGAAGCAATATTTGCTTCTTGCGAGACAAAATTCATGTGTGACGCTTGTTAAGTGCGTCAACATAGCAAATGGAAATCAACTAAATTCTGCGCACGTACGGAAATTTCGTCATGACAGCATCTACCACACTCTCTCCGCCTCATATCGTATTTGAAACCGCGCAGGTTTAAGGTCTTAAGTGACATGTGGACGTGTATGATGGGAGTTAGATTGTATTTTTCACGGTCTAAGTAAAAAGTCTAGTTTTCGAACGAAGTTGTTTTTTCCCCTGTCCTTCGGCAGTCTGCTCATAAAACGCAATTCTAATTAATAGACTGTCACTTCGTAGGGACGGCAAGCTGAGTGAAATATCGACTGGAGAGAAATATTCTGTTGTTCTAGCCCTGATATGCAGCGAGATCTAGCGCTCCTTCCTGCTGAAACCATCAGCGAAGTTTTCCAATTTACGAAACTCTCATCAAACACATCTTTTTAAAATAAACAATATTGTTTCGTCATTGCAAAGTTGCCTCCTGCAGGTGCTCATATTTGTTCCCCACTAAAATTTTTCACACCATACTTGAATCTGCTTTTGTTGCAGGTGCTGTTCTTTCCCAAACTGCACATGAGACACGCCGGAATGTATATGTGCAAAGCTGAGGCTCTTAACCCTGTCTACAAACCGAAAAGCAAATACCAGGATGAAATTTTTAGTCGTGGTGATGGACCCGACTGGGATGGAGAGAAGAGCGGGGTCGTGGAGTCTGAATTCTTGGTGCAAGTGCAACCCATCCGCCTCATTGTCTTTTCGCGGCCACATATGTTGCCGGGCAACCCACGTCTCATCAGCCTGCCGACGCCTGCACAACTGCGGTCCACCACCTACTTCCCTGAATTACTTAAACGAAGTCAAGATCAGTTCCAACCCACTCTTGGCCGTTATTCCTACCAACGTCATTTTGGTGACGACATTCAACGACAACGGCGTTCTCCAACTGCCTCTACAGATCCAAATCTACCCTTTGACGACTCGGGAACAGCACCGGGTCAGCTACCGGTCTGGCACTATAATAATCGACCAGTTGCCAAGGAAGGCGAACAGATGGTCCTTGAATGTGCCGCTCGTGGAAATCCGCCTCCGAAGTTGAGTTGGTATAGGGGTGGTGGAACTAGTTTACCGCCCCCTGAGGATGTGACCTATGCCAATCTGAACTTTGATAAGCTCATTCGTGAGGCCCTGCCATATTTGCCTCTGGAGGAGGCAAAACGCTACCTTGGAACTGCCGTGGCCGAAGGCAGTGAAATCCTGCCGGCCATAGAAGAGAGCGTACGAAGGCCAGGAGAACGACCGGAGGTGCGCAAACTGGAGGTGGATAACCTCAGCCCGAGGGAAGTGGACTTTAGTGGAACCCGACTGGGTCGCTTCTCTGTGGTCGCCGGCCTGCGAAAGGATGATTCGGGCATTCCAGTGATCGCGGTATCCCGGTTAATTATTGACCAACTGCAGGTGACTGACGCGACTCGTTACACCTGCCTGGCACAGCTAGATATGGCACCGCTGGGTGGTCATGGCAACTGGACAGACGTAGGGAGGTAGGAGGATTTTTGCAAAAAAACGGATTTTTTTGAAGTACCTTGCACAGAATGAAATAGTTTTATTTTCAATTAGTCATTACGATGACCACAGTGTCCCAGTTTCTCATCTGAATTCTCTCTTGGATGTCGTCATCTTTCACTTTTATGTTGGAAATACGACGTAAAAGCGGAAAATGCTCCTTATTACAAGGTAAAAACGTGCTTATGGGGTGTGCAGCCTAAACGAGTGGAGACAATTGTTATTTCCAAATGAGAATTTCGGAAAGTTAAATAGTGGAGGTTGTTATTTAAGACTATTTTTTATCTGGTCCAATCATTCATGTCTGCAAAGAAATTCATAAAAACAGCTCCCCTATCTAGAACATAAGTGCAGGTGAAAAATATCTGAACAATCTCCTTGCCTTTGCATGTTGCCTCTTTACTGCATCATCTCAGAGCAAGTCATAAAAGTTCTCGAAACAGAGTTATTTTTTAAGAAATTCTGAGGAATTTACTGTTTGGTCATATAAACCTTTGCCAAAAAATACTTTTTTACCGAGAATTTTACATAACCTGTAGTGTGCCTTCGAAATTTCTGGACAGTTTTATCCTCAAAATATTATTCAGCGCTCTTTGGTTTAAAGCTTGACCTAGTTCTACTCACTTTCTTAAGTATGCAATCTTATTTTCCATGTCTGCACTCGAAAGCAATTTTAAAAAGTCTGAAAGCTGGCATTAAAGGAAAGTTTTCTTATAATAAAATGTTTCCTCATAATCCAAAAAGCCTTTTTGAGTCAAATAAAAAAAGCTGCGAGCAGAGAATTACACACACTTCCACAAAAGGTTGAAAGCTTGCCCATGGCCGAACTAAAAATATATCCATAATTAAATAAAAAGTGCTAAGAATGGAACGGTTACGTCAAGGAAAATTTAGAAGACAAACCCTTTCAGTCGTTTTTATGAAAAAACTACCTCAGACTGAATAGAACTGAGCTAGAAATACATACTTCAAGAGAGATGCACTCAGATGCAGATACGATGCCACAGACCGTCACGCATGGGGAGGCAACATACCCGTCACTATCTCAGCCTGCCAGATCACACGTGACCACGGTCGAACAAATACCTTTAGGTAGTACACTAACTGTCACCACCAAACGCCTCGATATGCCTCGGTGGACGCGTTTACTTCACTCTGCCCTGTCCTGCGACTACACGAAGCCACGTTCTGCCCGGCCGACCACATCTCGATAAGCGTCATTGACCACCGGGCTAACAAGGACCAGGGTGTGTCTCCTCAGTCCGTAGTTTCCCGCACCAATCCCCATCCTTCCCACCCCAAACAAAAAAGTCCCACACACACAGAGAGAGAAGGCGACATAATATCCCGCAGGCTGCCCAGTTTGCCTTGGGTCCCTCTCCCACTGTAACAAATTCATGGACTACAGGTGCACGGGATGGCTCTAGTATGGTGGGCACTGCTTGCCCCTTCGCCGGGGGGGGAGAGGGAGGTCGACTAATAGAACGTATGCCCTAAAATAATGGAAAAGCACGCCGTCGACAAGCTTATCCTGGATTGCGGACACGAGATGTGCGAACGAAACAGTATACATGACACCAATATCTCATCCAAATTTCCCTGTCTGCCATAGTTATCCCGTTCATTCTGGCAGCCCAAATGTTCATTCCTCGGGACATCAGTGATATGCTCGCATCCATTTCATGAACACGCCACAGTTTATATTTTTACACTGCGCACTAACTATTCGGAAGCTGTTAGTTGTTTCAGCTAGCTATCCTGCAAGTTAAATTTTCACTGACGATGAAGTTCTGCACGAGTCTGAAAAGTTTGAGAAATAAACAAATGTTTCGTGTCCTCGACTAGGCTTCTTATTGGTTACTCATAAATGCACCTGGAATTCGAACATTCGTCTCCACTCGTGAAATAACAGTTCTTCCGAAAGTCTTGCTGCATTATCTTGAGTCCTGTTTGCACTTTATTTTAGCATTAGGAATGTTTACAGTGACAGTTCGACCGTCGATTTCGACAATGTCCACCGTGTGCCCCACAGCTGCAGCAGCGGTGGGAGCAGGGACGGTGACTTACGCAGGGGTTTATAGTGCCAGTAGACTTGTGTAGCATCTACCTACACTCTCTCCTCCTCCCCCGCCTGGGCACGGTGTCAAGACAGAGTCAAGAAGACCGGAGACGAGGGAGGCCGCAGGTGGATGGCTCGGACGGATCCTCACCTTGGCGTTCCACCACACCCCCTGGTCCACACAACAAATAACCAGGATTTGAACCAACACAACAGAGATTTGGAGGCTGGCACGGCCGAAGCCGCACCTGGGCGTGCCGCCAACGCCTGGCTCGGATCCCACACTGTGGTGGGAGTGCCATAAAGGCCACATTAGGAAGGAGCCATTGCAGCCTGACTCTCAGACCGCCTCCAGTGAAGGAGGAGGTCCAAGGTACCCCGTCAGTTGGCAACCTTCCAAGCCACGGCTTTTAGCGCACCGTGATAGCTTCAAGCGCGTCAGATTGTTTATAGTGAGGAAAATGCGCTGAGTCGTCGACCTCACTCTCCCTTCCCATTCCCACACCCCAGCCACTGTCCGAGCCGGTCAGTAGACTGGAGTGGGGAATGGGCGCGGTGGCTGGCATGGTCGACTGACCATGCCTGCGCGCGCCGCAGCACGACCTGGCCCCCCATACACACAAACACCAGGATTTCACACAACGGGGGTTGAGCGGCGTGTCTCTCACATGCGTGAGAGGGCCGTGGAAGGTGCTGCTTCAGCCCGTCCCCAGCCCACCAGTCCGCCACTACACAACACACACACACACACAACGTGACGAACTGCGTGAAACGAGAACGGGCGTCAATCAGCAACCTTCCTATCCACGACACTTGACGTGTCGGGATAGTCTCGGACTCAAGTCACACGTGCAGCCGAGGCCGCATGGGGACCGAGTCGAGATGCACACTTCCCACTTGCGTGGGAGGCGGCAGTTGAGTGCATGAGGTGTGTGAGGGTTGACGTCTAGTGGGGTGATGATGTAAGAAGGTAGGGAGTGAGGGAATGTGTGGTGTGACCGGCGGTTGTCTACCGCAGGTCGTTGTGGATGCGCATGTGGCCGAATAGACCCATGCGATGCGTGAAGGTGCGAGGGCAGTGTGGGCAGTTGAGACGAGCTTGATGGGTATAGGTGGGTGCTCCAGGCACTGGTTCGCCAGTCTCTGTGCGATGGATTCGCAAGTGACCGACCAGGCCGATGCGAGAGGTGAAGGTGCGGTCGCAGTGAGGGCAGGTGGGGGTGGTTGCGGTTGCTGTGTCGTGGTTGGCGATGTGTGAGACGGCAGCCTGAACGGCCACCGCTGGGGCAGTAGAGGAGAAGGAGGAGGATGGAAGTGGTGGTGCAGAAGGAGTGTCAGAGTTAGTTGGCGGAAGAGAGGACGAGGAAGAGGCGGGCGCGGGGACGATGGCTGGAGCAGTTCGAGAGGTGCAGTTGGTTCGAAGATGTCCAACAAGTCCGATTCGTGCCCGGAATGTCCGTTGACATCGAGGACACGTAGGGAGAGGTTGTGCGGCGGCGTTGCGTATTGGACGAAGTTGTGATTTGCGGACTTCGCGTTTCACTTGGGCGGCGGCGATGCGGTTGGCTTCGTAGATGGCAGCGCCCGTCTTCACTGTTCTCCTCCATGTCGGACGATCGCGGGCGAGCTCTTCCCAGTTGGTCGGGTTGATGTGCAGGTGCTTCAGGGAGGACTTCAGCGTATCTTTGTAACGGCGAATTTGGCCTCCTTGACGACGAGAACCCGTCGCGACGTCTCCGTAGAAGAGTCGTTTGGGTAGACGCTCGTCGTCCATGCGCACCAGATGGCCGCTCCAGCGCAGCTGCATTTGTCTTAACATGGAGTAGATGCTCAGAATTCCCGTCCGTTCCAGCACTTCGGTGTCGGGGATGCGGTCCTGCCAGTACAGTACTGTAAGTATAACACTCTTGGGTCACATGGATCGCTATTTGTGGGCAAAAACATGAACACCCGGAGTTCCTTATCAACTGCGGGGGAAGGCGTGACCTGCATCAGCGTTTAACCAATACGAGACTTCAGGGTTGGTCTGTATTGGTTATGATTTCCAATTTTCACTCCAAAAGTCCGGTTCAGAGACAAAAAATTGAATTAAGTGAACTTCCCGTAGGTGGAGGTGCAGCCGAAAAATAGCCTAATACCAACTCGCCACCCTAGACTAATGTTGCGTACCTAAGTCAAATGAGCTGGGGACAGACTTCTTTTTGTACCCTTCCTCAAGGCATCGACCTCAGATATTCTGTCCCCCTTTAGAATGGGAAAAGTCGTCGTGAGCATAATTCGAACCGACTTTGCTGTCAAATAATGCGCTGTTTGCACACCGGAAATACTTTTCACGTTTGATTACGTTCAGGTAGGAGAAAGTCGATAGCGAAGTCAGAAAAGGCCACATTGTCCTGAAACATATCTCAAAATCTGATAACTCAAAATTTCATTCTTCATACACAACGTGCCACAGTCCTCTTTTCGACAGGAAACTCTTTTTTTCAAGCTTAGATCATATCAACGTTAAAATTTTGGACTTAATTTTAATGGTTTTTGACTGGTCTCCACCTCTGAGGGCTGTCCAAAATGTCTTGCCTATCCGGCCTGGATGTCAGTATTTTCCGTTTTTCAGTCAGTCAGGAGTGTACCCTGCGCAAATGCAGCTTTAAAATGCTCGCAAGTCGAGCACTCGCTGAATTTCCCCAAGTGAACAACGGCTTGAAAGTTACTTCACGCATGAGGGGAAGGCTGTCTGAGGTTGTTCTTTATTTAACTAGACTGACAGCGCAATTTAGTGTGAAGTCAATGGAGTTTTCCTGAGCGGCGCAGAAACCGAGTCGAAAACACTGAAACGCACGAACAAAAACATCCACTTGTTTGCGGAAAGTTGTTGACTCGTTGGGTCTTCCTAGTTTTCGCTTACGATTTCTGGTTATAAACGCGCTGTTTCTGTTTGTTCTGTTCACATTTCCTGATAAATTACCGGTTCTACTTGCATGCAAATTTTTCTATGTCTTCATCCTCAGATTCATTTCCAATCCAAAACAAGATGTGACTCATTATTTTTTGGATCTTTGACATTGGCGTACTGGAAAATTTTTCTAGTAGGCGACAATAAAAATCATAATGAAGGAAGCAATACGTAGGCACTTATGTCAACATTAGTAACTTTTATTAGCCTAAGGGAACTAATTTAGCACAAATGTGCGACTGGCGAAAATGCAGTGTCCATATGCAAACTTACCGAGGTGAGTAAAATCACGGATAATGGCTGTTTGCGTCCGACTGGAAAGCGAAAACATTCAGTGTAACTTTGCTGGACGACACAGAATATTTCTTAGAGATTTGCCGAGCCTTTACTACACAAAATTCAGTTTTTATTGGCAAGTTGGTTGTAATGTGGGCCTACAGTAGGTAGGCTAACTCATGAAACGGCAACCGAAATTCCAAACTGCGTTTTCATTTCGAAAAGATTATTTGAATACGGTTGTAAAACTAATCATCATGCAGCATAATTCATTGATAAGACAGTTCTCTCAGGATGCCGGCTGTCGAAGGAACTTTTTTACGACTGCATGCAAAACTATGTCCTGTGCAAAATGAATACCTAAGCAGCATGTTTTTTTCTCATTGATTTTCGATGCTCCTAAGAATCCAATTATATTACATGGAAAGTAAGGATAAAAATATTCATTGTTTTGCTCATTCGGTAGAAAATTACGTCTTCTTTAATTGGGTTTAAAAAGTTTATGATTGCGTGGTTTTTTAATACCGTGAAATGGCCGTTCATAAAACGTCATGTCTCTGCATTTAGCAATGTGGCTTTTAGAGCTAACAATATGGCTCAAATCCACTGCCAAATGTTATAAACCCTATATGGCCTCCTCTTAATACCGTAGAGGAATGTATGGTTTTTCGTACGCGGAAAATGTACGGCTGTAGTTTGGAAACACTGAACGCAAGTGTAGCGGCAGGTCGACTTCAAAATTATATGGGAATTGAGAAAGTTTTTGGAAACCGAATTATACCCTTCTTTCTTTTATAACTTGTAAGAAGACGTAAGTTCCTACCGAATGAACAAAACAATGAATATTTTTATGTATGTTTTCCATGAACTATAGTTGGATTCTTAACGGCATTGGAAATCAATGAGAAAAATTCTTTCCGTTTAAGTAGTCATTTCTTGCGAAGTTAATTTCCGACTGGAGCCGAAAAGAGGTTTTTTCGGAAGACATCATCCAGAGGTATTTGAATTATTATAGAATAATGCTGCATGACGAGTAGTTTTTCAACCGTAGTTAATTAATCGTTTCCAAACGAAAACGCATTTCGTAATTTCGTTTGACATTTCATTCATTTAAATACAGTCATGTATCTCGAACCTATGAAACGATAGGCGTTTACACAAAAACTTGCATGTAATAAGATACGGTTTATTGGGTTGATTGTCGCAAGGTGAATATTAATGCTTCCCCGTTTTGATTATCAAGGATATAGTCGCAAGCCTTCTTCACATTTCCGGCTTAGGATCTTCCCCCGGCAGGACACGGGGACAGGACTGCTCCGTAATTCGGAGGACTTCGTCAAAACGCCGCAGGAATTATAAAACGGGTCGTGGTTCTTGTTACGGCCATGGATTAAGGCTATGATTAAAAGCAGGGTTAGGGTTAAGGCTGGGGTTACGCCCAAAGCTGCGTTAGAATACGGGAATCGGTACCCTTCCTTGGAGTTATTGAAAAACCGCCTGTATTAGATGTGAGAATGTTCCTATTGTTAAGGGGGGGAGGACATATAGATATTGCCAATGGAAGCGAAGAGACGAGTCCCAGGACAAGAACTTTATTAGCCTGACGTTTCGGATGCCTCCTCGAACCCATCATCAGAGACAAAAGCAGACCCGTATCTGCTTTTGTCTGTGGTGATGGCTTCGAGCAGGAATCCGAAACGTCCCGGCAATCGTGTCTACTTCTTCAACATACGGATATCCTCACTAATTAGCGTTTAAGCGTCGTGAATCTATTTTGTCAGCCTGTCAGGCTCAGATGGATGGGTTGTAATGGCCTGACTGGTCTTGCTTTAAACCGCTGTTATTAAGTTCACACGTTACAGTTGTCTATAAAGTAGATTTATTGACATACCACAGAGGGGCAGACGTCAACAAGAAAGATATATTTTAATTTTGACACAAAAAACTTGATTTTAGCGTCTAGTCCTGCGCAATTCTCTCATTATATGGCCCTTGGATTTTATGCGCATAGTGTTTGGCCATGGTCGCTAATTGGATCATAGTTTCACCGTGGTTCTTCTCGTTCTGCCCTCGTTTTTTGTAGAGATAATTAGCTACGTCGTCAATCTCATTCCCAACTGTTTCTTTTCAAGTGGGCTTGTAAAGCTAGACAGTGCGCAGGCCCGTTTATGTGAGGGTTCACGTCTATGCTTCTTTCACCAGCGTCAACATGGTCATCACCTCTGTCCTACACCCCATTTGTTCAAAAGTGGGTTCAAGTGTTCCCGTAAAGCTAGACAGTGCGCAGGCCTAATTATGTGACGCTTCACATCTAGGCTTCTTTCATCAGCCTCAACGTCTCGGCCCAAAACATTAACGGGGGCAAAGTTGACAATTTTTATCGTCTGCGTGAGGTGAGCTGTCGAAACAAAGCTGTAGTGCTCTTAAACAATTGAGAGAAACGATAGGGCTTAGCACCTACAAGTAGATGGCAACTATAGAAAATCTATTCTAAAATTCAGCGTGACTGTAAACATCACTTACTATTCACCATTCCCATTGTTTGAAACTTCATTCCCTTCCTGACTAAATGCAAACATACCAGCTGCGCTTTAGTTAAAGTCCGTTATTTTTTGAAAATTGCTTTTTGCTTATTTTTTTAACTATCGTGCTCACTTTCTTTGCCACATAACAGCGTACGATAAGACTTTCGACGGAACTCTATTTACTTTCGGTGTTTTCTTGTTCTCCGCCCTTAATGCCCCACCCGTAAAACCCCCTCTACCACCATTCAACGTATGACACGGTCCACAGGCTAGTTGAAGTTAGCTGTGAGTCCTACACCCTATCCTTGCCAATTCAGTGGGCTCGTAAATTAGACTCAAATGGGCTCGTAAACCTAGACAGTGCGCAGGCCTGTCTATGTGACGCTTCACATGCAGGCATCATTACCTCCGCCCAAAACATAAATGGCGGCAAAGTTGACAGTTTGTATCGTCTGCGTAATATGGGTGCCAACTCCTGTTTCGGGTCTAACCTCCGAACATCCAGCTGGTGTTCGTGCCCGCCTTTGCATCCGTCGTAGTTGCTGTCTTCGCAAATGAACTTCAGCTGGTGGACAATTGTCAACATCTGACCGCTCAGCCTGCTAGGACAAACCGCCCAAGCCTTGGACGCCCCGCAGATGTCCACGTATAGCCTTGCTTAAAAGGAAATTTTTGAGGAACAACAAGCTTCTCCTTTAAGGTGTGTCCGGTTTTAGGACAATCAGCGCCGTTCCGGTCGCCGTCCTTGTTTCCATACAATCAGTGTCGCGTTACATCAGTGCCAAAGATGAATCAGAAAGGGGAAACCTGCCCGTTCAAGTCCACATAGGGACAAGTAGAAGGCGCCAGAGGCGGTAAAAGTTAGTACCGAAGGGATCATTCTGCCTGCTGATAAAGGCCGGCTCATTGCGCTCCGTAAGGTGAGCTGCCGAAACACAGCTTTAGTACTCTTATACGATTAAGGTTAACGATGGGGTGTAGGACTTATGAGCTCTCAGTTTAATCCTCATTTTGCCTCTCTTTTCTGAACTTGGAAGATTGATTCGATTTTCG